TCTAAACCTATTCAGACAGTATTTCCGTGTAGACAGTACATGCATTAACAATTTTATCACATTCATTATAGCAAACATATTTCCAATCCTTCCAAACAATTTCATTATCAACGAAACAGACTTCTTGGCTACCAAACGTTTATAAATGGGTCGTGAATTAATATAAAATTTGCAAGCTGATGCGAGAAGAGCTCCACTCCTGCTGGCTCAATGCACCCTCGGGGATGCTCCGACGTCTGCAGTGTGTCTGGGATGGAAATAGACCAGACTGCAGACACCAGTCGGCTACACTTTTTGCGTTTCGTGACTAATTGTGTACCATTACGAATTTAATTTTCTCCTTTTGTTTGCGAGAAACATTCACAAAAAAATAAATGTTTGCCACGAGTACTTGTCCACCGTGTTGACGATACCAAATATTCGATATGACTCGTGGTTTTCTTCAGGTACAGCGACGGGGAGTGCATCAGGTGCTTTCGTCTGCTGAGAAGATCGCGGAACGTGATCGAAGTGTTCTCTGAGAACCTGAACAGGTGTTACACTACGGAGTCCACCGCTTTGGCCTCTTGCGAAACGTTGAACTCCACGTCGATCTTATATCGTGAGTCAGGATTAAAATTGGTCGGAATTAATTGGGCAATGAATTGAGAAACACTCAGAAAATATTATCGAAAATATTATAGGTACCAAAGAGATTGGAAGCGTTCCTATTAGAAACGAATACTGTCCTATCACTGGACAGTATCATTTCAAGTACAGCGTCAATAATGGATCCGACAGGGTCATCGAATGCAACAGCTTCTCGTCTTCCTTCAACAATTGCCCGGATGGGTCTGTTCTGAGGTTGCATTTCAGTCAGTGCACCTTTGAGGCTCAAGGTATTCCATATACATTACACATATATTTTTATTCATACGCTTTTATACATATGTTCCTTCCAATTTTTGTTCTTACTCTCATAAAGCAAGAATCGAGTCTTCCTAGTCGTTAAAGATTGATAATATTCCAGCAAACCTAACGTTTAACTGTTTGGGAAACTGGCCTGGTCCAAACGGGTCCACCTATTTTGCACTGTTGGACAACAATGCAGCCAGCGAAGGTAGACCACAGTATAGATGCGGGGTGAGTTAGAAATAACTTCTTTTTCAACACATTCACTGCCAAACTGCTTGTGAAAAATTCATGAGCCAATTTGTGTGACATCACTTTGGTTCTATACAACTGAAACTTACTTCTTTTTCATTTAATCTAGTACTTGTCTTTACAATTTCGCCAAGTTCATGAATCTTATTATTTTCTTTAGTATCTCCTCATCAAGAATTAATTTATATTATTATATATGTATATATAATATTAATTTATTTCATTTCGCACAAATGTAATTGTTTACAGCTATACCATGTCGACAATAAAAAGGGTAAGACGTACATGGCACTCAGCAGCGATTCCAGTTGTACAGAGAATTTGGATAACTCGACCAGTGGATACGAGACGCTGATCCTCAGCAAAGTTCCAAATCAGAAGAAAATGCCTAATTACGTGAAGACTCACGTGGCCACGTTAGTACATTTTACCGCATAGACATGTAGTTAATTAAACAAATAAATAACTATACAGTTCATATTCAATATAATACAATACTTGAAAATTTCTGTCAATTTAGATTTCCAAAATGGGCCCAAGGCGTATGGGAACAGTCCCTTATCGTGAATGGCACCATGACCTTTACCGATCTCAACGGCTACAATAGTTACACTTTCATTACTGTGGATTCAAACGAGGAGACTGGTCGTTACATTGTTTATTCCAAAGACCAATGGTAATATTTCAACTAATAAAATTTTGACTGCTTTTGCATATTCGTTGCACATTATATAAAAAAAAAAGTAACGTCGCGTGACTTGTTCATTTTCAGTGAACAAACGGCCTACGTGTGTTTAATGATGAGGCAACGAAGCGAAAATGTACTGGAGTTCACGATAGGTATTTATATCTCTCATGATTTCTGATACAGTTACAATTACAGTTACCATTTCCAAATTGAGAATTTAATTTTTTAAATGGCGATTTACAGGAATGGTGCTGAGTCCAGTTTACCAAACGTACTTGTGCGACGATCCTAATTTAGATAAGCCTGTTTGGATGACACAAGCAAGTAAGTGATACGCAAAAGAAGGTTGTGTAACAATTCAAATTCATATTTTATTTGAATTGCTTTGTTTACTGTAATAATTCTTATAAAATCAGGAGTGGAACGCGTGGTGGAATCGCCTTGTCCAATCACTGGCCAATACATGGGAATGATAACTGACTTGTCAGGAATGTGTGCTGAGCTGAGCAGTAATTGCAATACGCGAGAAATAATGTATTTCAAAGTTACAGACTGTGAGTCTGGTGAACTTTACGAAGGTACCATATCTGATACAGTCTTTAATCAAAATTAATAAGTAACAGTTCGAATCGAAGAAAATATCTCTTTGAAATTGTTTCAGAACGAGCATACTTGTGCTTAGGGCAGTGGGAGGAAAAGGGTGTTATGTACGCGTACACCATGAGAAACGACACCAGCACCAACGAATGCTTTGTAGGTCTAATTGTAAACGACGAAGAAATCTATATAAAGGAGGCAGGGGATCATTGCATTCGAAACATTGATCCCAAACTAGAAGGAATGCGTTTGTATAAAAAAGGTAATTTTCATAGCTCAAACTGTGAATTACAGGGCACTTTGATGCAAGACTTACGCTTAAATAATATTAACTTAGGTCAATGTTATGGAAATTCTCCAAGTCCTGCACCTACACCAATGAAACCAATACCTCACAATCCAATAATGAGAATTGCAACTACCCCTCGATCAAGAATATCAGGTACGGTTATGGTTACACTCGAATATTATACCATAGATTTTACAAAATTTTATTTACATTTATCATCAATGGTTATTTTATTGCGATAACAGGTGGCAACAATATACCAGGAAATAATATTCCATCCCTAACCTCCAGTAACGCAAGTGCATCCTACAATTTCATGACACTGGTAATGATACTTACATTTTTCAAAAGTATTTACATGCATGTTTGAATAACTACACTGCCATTAGCGAAAGAATAACGAGCTAAATGAATATTTTCATGCGACTAACAATGTTATGTAAAATACTGAGAAGACATAAATCGGATTACTTAATTAACTTATAATTACTATGTAATTTATCTTTATCATAAAAATTTGACTTTGAACCGAACATTTGTTCAAATAATGAATATATATCGCTGTCTAGTTAATACAGTGGTGCATACATCAGGAAATTGCTAAATCGTCCCGATATCTAATGTATGTACGATCTATTTTGCTTTTTAAACAAATGACTCTGTATATATGCATACTTTTGTAACTTATGACGTTTTCACCAAACACTGCCTTGTAAGATACAAGTAATAGAAAACTGAAAGCTATAGGTTGCTAGGAGAATCCAAAGAAGTCAACATTTAATGTGCATCATTTTAATACATTTTTCGTACTTCCCTCGATATTTTAATGAATTATTAATTCTATGCTTTTCAGTATAATTGCTGTTATAACTTTTAAAGAGGTTGGTTAGCTAAAACAATATAGAAAAAACTCCTTCAATTTAAAAAAAAATTACACATCAGAAATTGTTTATTGTACAAGTAATAATTCTCTTTTAACATTTGTCTACGAGATAATTAGTCGACCTCTTTAAGGGAGGACATACCACGAAATTTAATTACAATATTATGTTTAAAAAAGTCCTCACTTAGTAATAAAATTAGCAATATTCTAATATATGGGATAATTTAAATTTAATTTGAATTTTGTACCTTTTGAATTTATGTTAAATTGGAAAACCCCTCGTGTACTTTATTTTGTAAATAAAAAATTATCGTTAATTAGTGATGGAACAACGGTAGTGAGAATAAAAAACATTTATCGAAAGATACGAAACAAGAAAGATAAAGATACAAAATTCAATGGAACGATTTAATACACGTAATTATTACTGTTAATTCATCAATGAGACTGACTGTATTAACTATACTGTATAGAATAGTCCACAAGAAACAGAATACCTAATTAAACATTCTTTTGTATCTTTAACAGCAAAGGAGATAGGTGATCTGTTTGTGGTGGACCATCTTGTGTATTAGTAACTATATCGACTTATACCTTAAATGTTACTTATAATAAGTAACTAAAATCACTTTGCTTTTTATTCGTATTTAAAAGATGAAAATAACTCTATTTTCTGACAGAATGCATATTAATATGTATTAATAAATTCTGAAGAAATGAAAGAACTTAGTACACGAAGAAATATATTTTATAATACGCAAAAGTTTTACCGAGAAAATAAACCGTAAACAAAGGATCAAAGATAATAATAATGCAGATAGTAAGATATACTACTGCATATCAGTTGTTCTCTGTGATTTTGTTGGGAAGTTTTCGAAAGCACGATAGGTTATACAACAACTTTAATATTAACTTTTCTATACCGATATAAACAAATGTCGTGTATACGAGTAAACTAAGATTTTTATAAGGAAGCATTGTGTGAAATGGTGATTTTATAGAATACTTTTAAGATTTGTTTTTATATTTATATACAATTGTATATACATGTGTATTTGTAAACTGCTTAATGTATATGTATAGTATGAATGACACAGTAGTATGTACAATGTAGATAGCATTTACTTTGAATTGTGTATAGATGAACCAGACACTAAATCCTCAACAGTCACTGAATATTTTTACAGTTCAATATTGGCCCATATGTTATGTTATGGGGCTCAAATGTGTTAACTCGACTTTTTATTTTACAGAGTTTACTAGTTTGGTATTTGAGAAGGTTGTACATTGAACATATGTACATATAAAAAGGTTACAAGTATGCATCAATTTGCATTTCACGTCTTTTCAATATTTAATAGTGACAGAAACTAAATTTTACATTTAATAATTAGCATGGTTCTAATCATATATAATCTAGTATTCTTTAGATTAATGTAAAGTACTAGAAAATAATAATTTTTTACACGAAATAATTAATCAATTATTATCTAAATACAAATATAAAAAAACATGTGATCTTATTATATACGGATAATTTATATTATCGTCTCATCGTGGTTCTTTAAGCGCTGAAATTCAAACCAACACCATACCGTTCCTGTAATAGTTACAATTTACAATGCAAAAGTGCAATCAAGTCAATTCTTTATTCGAAGATTTTTTGAAAACTTAGGCATTAAATATCGCAACTGTACATAATCGACATCACACGGCAATTGTATATTCAGCAAAAATAATTTTTGTATAATGCTATTTTAATACTGAGTTTTATATTTTTAATTAACAACGTTTTCAACATTTGTGTAATATCTACTTCTTAATGTATAAAACTAAGCAGCAGCTACTTCTTTATGTACTATTAAGTTATTTATTTTATATAGTCATACGATAAAGTAAGTTTGTATATTCGTATCTTTAAACGGAATAAATAATTTTTAACGAACAATTTTTAATTATCCATGATATATTATAAATTTAGGGTAGGGTTTTAAAAAGTTTTTAAAACAACATATTATCAAAATATATTCTTTATTTTTTAATTATCATCATAGTATAAAGAACAATTATTTAAGAAATATTGTATAAATGTATACACTATATAAACATATAGAAAACATAATAAACGATAAGGTTCAGAGATGGTTGGATTCAGACATTAAAATATTTTCTTTGCGGTCTGTTCCCCATTTGTACTTATTACTACCAGACTTTCCCTTCACGCGATGGCACGGTATCAAATATGCAATTTTATTTTTCATTACTGCATTTCCAACAGCACGTGCAGCTTTTGGATGATCTATCATCGATGCAACTTGCTCGTAAGTGACCGTTGTAGCTACTGGGATACTCAATAAGGATCTCCAAACTTTTATTTGAAATTCTGTACCCAGCAGGAGTACCGTGATGTGATCGCCTACAAGTCCACGTGGCGAAAAAATGTTGCGTACAATCTCTTCTGTTTCAAACATGTTGTCTTTTGTCAACTCTGATAGAGGCCAATCGTTCTTCAACTCGGCCAACGCTTTTTCCTGACTTTTATCAACAAACGCTAAATACACTACGGTTTTATCAGAGTCTGTTACGCCAAGCAAACAATTCCCACAGAATGTGGGGTGAAAACCATAAATTATTTTGAAACTCTCATGTTTTGCTCTGTATTCTTCTGATGTCATAGCTCGTATACGAACCATATTGAGATCTAAAGTTTGTTTAAATTATAATACGTAGTGATCGAATCTGGGAACCCGCTCGATTGGATCCTATTTCATAACCTCAATACTTTGATGGCGTCTGCTATATATTTACATGTTACAAAGATTAGTTTTACTTAGGGATGTAACAACTATAGGTGATAATAGTTGAGCAATTCGAGACTCAATAAATGAGTTCATGCTACTTATCAAATATATCCTTTCAGTAATATCAAGGGTATTTTTCGTATTCTTTTAATTAACAATGTTATTTAGAAAAACTTATTAGGTGAAAAAGTAATATCACGGAGGATAAAATAGAAGCCTACAGCTAATATTTTTGACATGAAAATACAAAAATAATATTAATGCATGATTTACAAATATACAAAGTAGTTGCTAACAATTAAATCGCTTAACAACGTGTACTTTTATTTCCTGAGGATCCGCGTTAGCGTTAACATTAAAAAATATTTTGCGGGATTTCGCGTCTGACAGTAACGAATTCCACATTTGGTCTCTCTGTAAAACGTAATATTTGTTGTACAGTATACGTTATGTTTAATGTATAATTATAATGTTGTCCAGAAAGTTCGTGCCAATTTTTAAGAAAACTTCAAAGGCACATTTGAATTGTAATATACATTTATTTATATGTATATTTATTGAATTACATGGGTACCATTTTGTTCCACAACCTTTCCACCTTTTAAGAGATGTACATATATATGTTATTTGTTTTCAGCCATTTCGACATATTCAGACCTGCGCCACCTATCAAAAATCGGCATGGACTTTCCGGACAACCAAATATAATGTTGTATCATCTTACCATGAAGACGTTGAAATTACCACACAGTATCAGACTGTGTTTCGCTCGCGTCAGAGCAACGCAAAGCCTCTGTTTATCGGACAAAAATCCAATTCTCTGGCTTCGTACGCACGACATAATAATAACATCACGTTCTTGTCCTTGGAAACCGTCGACCGTGTTTACTTCAAATTTCACCTTTTTCTTTACACCATCCGATAACAGAGACAACCTGAAATTGTTAGTATCGATCTTAGTATACATTGTACACTGTAAATAACATTTATTAAGTAGGAAAAGGGCAAAGGAGGGCTTACTTTCCATTAATCTTTTCTTGTATTATAGATTTCTGATTGTTGTACGGTGTGAGAATGCCAACAGTCATGCACTCCCATTTATCTAAATTGGCAAAGGACATCATGGAGAAGATCATGTTGGCCACAAACTGTGCTTCAACGGTATTTGAAAAATTCCCATTGTCCTGACTCGTATTGATATTTAGGACTCTGTACGCGTGAAATGGAAAGTTCTCGTTGCGCGTTATGCCGGTTTTCAATTTTGAACCGTAGAAGAATTTATTCGGCCAGGAGGAGATCTCGTATGGCATTCGATACTGGGTGTCCAGCATGATTATAGGATTGCTCTCGCAGTATTCGAAAGCGTTTTGGACTCGCGAGAAAATGGACTGATCCAGGCCCAATTTTTTCGCTTGTGGGCTTAGTACGGTAGCAGGCAATTGCATTGGGTCGCCAACCAAGACCAACGTGCACACCCCTAACATCAACGGTATCAAAGTTTCTGTTTCGCAGCTTTGAGTAGCTTCATCCACGATGCACACGGATATTCTCTTCTTATCGTTGACGAAAATAGATTCCATCTGATTATTATAGCACGAAGAAAGGGTGCAGGTTATTATGTCCGCGTGTGAAAGGACTCTACTCTCCGCTTCGCGCTGTATCTTCGTGAGCTCTCTCGAATTTATTTCGTTCAATGGCCTACGGTGTTTCAACAATTCATATTTTGCAGTTATATCCTCCAGTTTCATTCGAACGTGCTTCCTGTAAACTTCGTCCATGTTTTGAGTGCTCGCTATCTCGCATTTCAGAGCGTTCATTTTAGACTCGAGAAACGCCTTTTCCTCGTCCACGCTGTCCGTTGAAATATTGTTCACGTTGCTTGTCGTTCTTTTAACTTCTCGTTTCGCCAGCTCAGTTACAGAGATGTCTTTTACAACAGGATGCATCACCCCAGACCTACCGATCCTTACCATCTTGAATCCTTTCTGATTTACGTATTTCATGGTGGATCTAATCTGCAACAACCTCAGAGTGATTTCATCGATGGCAGCGTTCGATGGCGCGCAGACCAATATCCTCAAAGGGCCAACGTTATTCGAGTACCTATTGTTTCCATAAAGTACTTGGGTCACGATATTCGCGATAACTTTAGACTTACCGGTGCCTGGTGGGCCCTGTATGAAACACAATTTGGCCTGTTTCTGTACTATGACGTCTGTTATTTTATGAACAGCTTCCAATTGTTTCTGATTCAGATTATCTTGGGTCATCAACGGCTCTGATACAGGGACGTTGGGTAAGTGGTACATTTCGATCTTTGGACTTAAGATTGGAAGCATCAGAGGGGATTTTGGAAGGCACTCCAGAGCGCGCACCATCCTTAACGTGGAACGTAAATAAGTGACTGCCCTCAATCGTTGGACTCGATTCACAGGAATACTTTCGCCAAGAGGCTTCGTTATCATAGTGTACGTTAACAAAGCGTAAGGATTCTTCACGTAATTTCTCAAATCCTTGTTATAGTGGGTCCAGGGCGTTAATATCGTCTGGTGCATATCCGTGACGTAAGCGAATATTTTGTGAAAAGTCTGTCCCCTCTCGTGGTTCTTAACGTACTCGAAAAACACCAAGTCGCCGTAAGCGGGATGAGCCTGCGCCTGAATGTCTTGTTTCGTGGTTAGCACCTCGAGCATCAAAGTCGTCAAATACACGTTAGGGGATTTCATGTTCGTTTGAATGGAATTCTCAACTATGGAGCACATCAAGGTGGGACGTCGAAAGTCTTGCTCGATGTTCTGAAACTCTTTGGTTATCCCGTACCAAGTTTCTAGTAGAAGAAGAGGAGAAATGATTCTGCAATATTCGTCGTACGACTTGTAATGCGTCAGCATTACGTGGAGCTCGTTGTCGCTTACAACGGGTGGCGTAGAATTCAAGTGCTCTTGTTCCTCCAGCCAGACTGGATTCCAAGTAAAGATGCGCAGCAGGAATTCGTGCGTCTTCTCGTTCTCCATTACTCTTCTGGACGCTCTGATAGGGGGCAGGGGGGCATCTTTCCCTGTGAGTTTCCTTAGAACGTTCGTTTCCTCGATTTGATATTCGCGCACTGTCTGAAGAACTGTAGAGAAAGATACTCGTTTCTTCATTTTCTGACCTTTCGGTGGAGTACTTAATGCGGAAGTCAAAGGGGGCTTATTTTGAACAGGCCGTTTTGATTGTGCCTTTGATTTCCCGTGTCCTTTCTTTTTGTTTGTGTTAGTCTTTGCTACTTCTTCCATCGCTGCAATCAAAGAAACATCCCCTAATAATTTATGTGTTCGAGGATTGCTCTTTTGCGGTACATTGTCCAATGTGTTAAGTTCGATGTTGTTGCTCTTTTTTGGTATTCTGCCCAGTTTATTGAGATCAGTAAGCGTTAACGCGCGTTCCAGACGCGTTGATATTTCTTTAGTTGAATCTTTATTCCTCTCGGACTCGGCTGTCCCGGAATTTGTCGAAGTTTTGTTCGCCCTCGAGTGACGACTGGACGAAGTCGACGGTTTTTCTGTCACTTCTGACAAAGATGCAATCGTGTCTTCCACGAGTAGATCGCTACGTGTTTTCATTGATACTTTCGCTTTCGGCTTCGTGGTTGTACGCTTTTTCGTTTGATCGTCTTTCGAAGACGCTTGCTTCTTCTCCATGGCAATTTTCTTCAATTTTTCTTTCCTCTCAGCCGCCAGCGCTTTCTTCTCCTCTTTACTCAAAGATGTCCTTCTCGTATTTTTATTAAGAGGCAAGGAAATAGCCCACGTCTCGAGCTTTTTGCGAATCGTTTGTTCCTTCGTCAACTCGTACTGTTCTATTTTAGATTTCTCCCTCAATTCTTTCGTCTGTTTAGCGGTTAGTCTTTTCTTCGTCGTTTTCTCAGGTAATTCTTGTACTTTGTTTCTATTCCTATGCGTTCTCGAGGGCAAACGAAGCGCTTCGATTTGAGGAACCTTTCTCTCGAGTGATTTCTTTCTACTTGAACTCGCAATAATTTCTGTTGAGCTACTAGCTGAGATATCTAGACGGTTCTCTGTACTTTCTTGCCTCGAAGGCAGAATTTGATTGTTCGGTGTTCCTATATCAATCGCCATATGATCCTCGGAATCAATTCGCATTTTTTCT